GAAATTTTGCGATTACCCATAATTAAGCACCTTGAAGTGTTGAAAAATTCAATAGGTGTTGAAAAAGTGTTGATTAAGTGTTGAAAAAGTGTTGATTAGGTGTTGATTCTCTTTCAGCAACTGTTGAAAATACTGTTGAAAATTTGTACATCATTTTCAACACTTTTACTGCAAACTACGAGTACTGGATTCAACAGGCGTTGAAAACAGTGTTGAATGTTGAATAGTTTTCAACAGTTGCACTGTTGCTGCCACTGGCGTTGTTGCGGGGGAAGGACTGCCTGATTGGTTTGGTCCTGCTTTGGCTGCTGGATTGGCTCCTATCAAAGCAAACCTTGAAAATATCAATGCAAACCTTGGGAATATAAATGCCCGTCAAAGCAACGACGCGGCTGTCCATCAAAACAAGAGAGACCCTCAAACGCACGCGATGTAATACATGTAATACGTACAATGCGTATTCTACGTATAATACGTATAATACGTATAACACGTATTACACGGTCGCCAGCCAGCCACCGTGACCGTTCGAGTGACCGTTCGTTTCGCAAAATGGCTTCAACACCAATCTCCACCAATCTCCACAACACACACCGCCACCTCATGGCTGTGAGAATAACAAACCTATCCTCTCCTCTTGTTTGCTGTTGCAAGAGATAGCAGAGGTCATACTGTTAGTAGGAAAGAATAGTCCAAAGAATCAATCTAGATGGGTAAGGGTTAGGTTGTCAATGTCGAATAGCTTGTTGCTCTGAAAGCCAAGAACGACTGTTTACTGTGGAAAGATAAAAGGAATGCTCGCTCCATCCATTCAACTCCTTCTTCAATCTCCTGCCCCCACTCTCTTTATCAGGCTTTGTCAAGCTCACAGGTCCATTCTCTTTGCATTCATCTACTTCTGAAGGCTCACTGACGAAGCCTGTGGAAGATCTTGCCTTGAATTCTACCATTTTCAACCACTTTCTGTAGGACCAGTACTGAATCCATGTAAGTACCTCAGTCAGCGCGCAACACGTGTTATACATGTTACTCGTGTAACACGTGTTATGCCTGTAACACGGTTATGCATGGTAACGTGTATATATGTATCAACCCGTGTTATACTTATAACACGTATTACTTGTGTTATATGTATTACCTGTTTTATACGTATTACCGTGTTATACGTATTTCCTGTGTTGGTCGTATTGTGCATGTTACCCGTGTTTGTTTTCTCACATATTTTCGTTTTCTTCATTAGTATTTTTGTTTAGGCATCATGTCGGTTTCTGACGATGAAGATGGTGGGCAAGACGTTGGAGAAGACGTTGCTCGAGATGAGGAGAAGGATGACGAATCTGAGGAGGAGATTCCCTTTGGCCCTGTCAATCCTGGTCCTTTTTTCCCCGAACAAAACATATTCCCCGCAAACTTGGTTACTTTACATGTTATTCAAGAAAGCCATTCCGAATGACCGCGAAGGCCGCCGAAAACGAAGATGGTCCATCACCACGCATCCTATCTACCATCCTGGACTGTCAGCATTTTGTCACCAATGCTTTGAGCCTGGTGTTGCACAGAGTAGTGCCAAAAGTGCTTGGACTCGACCCCAACAATCCTGAGCACAGGGCACAAGTTGAAGGTCTCAGGGCTCTTGGGAGAGTTCCAGCTCTTCCAAGGGAGCATCGCCTTTTCCAACTTCTTTCCAGCACACATGATTGGGTAAATCGTCGGTAAGTAGAACACCAATCTTTTGACTTGGATGATCCCTCAGTCTCTCGAGTCGTTCACTCATTTCCTTTTTTGTCTTATCACCCACATACATTCGATACAGTTTGAAGTTTCTGATTTTGGCATCAGTTTCAACTGGTTTCCTCTCCATGACTTTGTAGACATGACGACATGCAATGGAGTAGCCGGTCCAGTGTCCACAAGAACAAACCAGGAACTTGCATCCTTCCGATACCACCACGGTTACCTGCCTTGTCTTTTCAAAGACAGGAATGACGTAGTTCCGGCGAGCAATTACATTCTGTTGGTGACTTTGTTGTTGATTTTCCTCGGTCTTTGAGTCTTTCACATTGAGTCAATCGGGCAAGTAGCCTGTCTGCAGCTGTCGCCCCCTGATGCGGTACTTGAGAGATGGTACCGTCTGGCTTCACCAAAGACAAGACAACTCCTTGATGCAAACTCTTCCTTAGAGATTCGATTTGTTCGAAGTTAGAGATGAGCCTGTCCGTTCATAAAGTAAAGTCTTAACAACACTTGGCGAGAGGTGGTTCTTTAGGCATTGTTCCGCTAGTGTAACGGCTTCTGTGCCAAGATGAGTGCTTTACACTTTCACTTGTGCCTCTTCTAGTTGTACATTGCCACGATGAAGCTTGTTGCACTGTCTGGAACTTGGTTAGATACCAACGTCTGTGTTCCTGGCTATATAGGACATTGAAAGAGAATGGACATTTGACACTCCTCCCCTCAACAGGAACTGAGTTGGGTGGTTTTTTTGCTGTCCTTTTGGGACCTTTTTTTGTAAAAACGACTCCTTTGGACAACATATGGTAATGTGATTCCGCCTCTTATCAAATCCCTTGTTTTTGATGCGGAATCCAGCAGTCTTGCAAAGGAAGTACAAAGTATGGCATCAAAACTTCTTTATATGCGCCGGATCACAAGATTGATACTCGAAGGTAGCCAATACAACGTCGATTTCTCCATTCGATATTTATCGAACCCCAGAGTATCCATAATGTTTATCTCCTTTGGCGTATCACAGCTAGTGAGGTTGCTACTTCACAATGATGGAAGCAGGATTCCATTCTTCATCATTGATTTTGTATCTAGCAACATGAGAGAGTTCAGATAGGTAAGAGTCCATTTTACTTGATAAGCTGTCAGGTATTATGGCCTGCAACAGTGCATCTTCCTCTCTGCCTCCCAAACACCTGGCAAAACACCTGGCAAAAAAACTTAGCAAAAATTCGTCACTATGTATTATACGTACAACACGTACAACACATAATACATGTAATACGTATAATATTGTTCCACTTGTGTTATCTGTGTTGTACGTATGACTTGTCTAATACATATTAAAAATGTTATATGTGTAATACGTATGATCTGTAGAATACATAGTAAAAATGTTATACGTATAATACAACCGCGTGCGTTTCAGGGGCTCTCTACTCCGTTGAATAACGTCGCTGGGAATCAGGATCCTAATTTCCTGCCACACTTCGAGCTTTGAACAACATGAATGGACCAGCGTTGGCCGCCATTCTGAGTCACTACGGCCTGGCGCTGGAGGCACAGTGGAGGCGAGCGGGAGGGCGGTATTGGCAAGGGATCACTCTTTCGAAAATGACGGAAGACAGGTACCGATATCGACAACAAGCAGGAGGGGAATAAGTGTATGTATCCATGGCAGCAAGAGCAAAAATCTTCTTCAAAAACCAAGAGTAAACACCAGGGAGGAAAGGAGCATTGTGAACATCAATCGGAGGTTGTGCCTGAGGAAGCTGTTTTTGGGGCAACTGTTGTGCCCTCGTCTGAACAACATGCTAATGGTTATATAGGTGGATACAAGGGCAATGCCAAACACTGAAGTAAAGCACTACGAGAACCCGACGCCCTTCAAGAAAAGGGAGTAGGAAGAACCCTTTGATCCTTGTCAAGCTGGGAGATTTTTTCCAAATCTGATTTGCTGTTGGACGGAGATGGCTATATTCTTGAATGCGACGACGAGTGGCAACGGTGATTTTCTGAAATGTTGAGGAACAGAATCAGATAGCAACCCGATTCGATTCATTCGTGTTGATTGAGATTCATACAACATTTGTAACCAAGACAGCAGCAGGTCCTGTACATGTACACGTAATGATTTCTGCACCAGATAGCTATCTTGCTGAGTGCTTTCATCAAGGGATCCACGTATCATCACCATTCAGCTTTTTCGCATCTCATGTAGGAAACCTGCGGGGCTTTTGGTCACCGTTTTATAATGCCAATGATTGAGTCTCACTGTCTAACTGTACACATCGTCACTTGGCGAAAGAAAAATTCATGTGACAGACTCGAGCCAGCGGGTGGTTCTGGGGAACACTTGTCACTTTAGCAAAGACAAATATTCAGCTGACATCACTTACTGCGTAACAATAGCTGTACAGTAGCAATTAGAAGTGACTTGTATTCTTTTTGGAGCTGAAAAGGGCAACATCGGAGTTGTCAAGTGATTGAACTAGAACTTTTCATCCACACTTGTGGTGCAACTTGTAGGGTGCTCTGAGGCTGCTGAAGCTGAGGTTTCTAGGGTGGGGGAATTGGTACAGGAAGCTCCTCAGTCGCGAGATCAGTCGTCACCCTTGATTGTGCGCTTTAGGCAAAGGTACCAGGTTCTTCCGGTACCGGTAGACATCCGATGCTGGAGTTGTTACAGTGAAAGGCTTGCAAGCAAGGTAGAAAACTATTACTGTAGATCTACCCCACACCACCAACGGAAGAACCAAAGCAAATCGTCAGCGCTCCCACGAACCACTACAGTACAGAGTTTCACATTCTTTCATTCGCATTTGGAAGCTGACGGCAAAGCAAGCTACTTGCTTGGGCTCACACCGCATATCATAGGTTCTACATGTTCCATATGCTATGGGTGCGCGATCGTCAGGAAGCCGCTGTACAGTGACCAGCCAGAAGCAGCAAGCACCCGCAGGCGGTGGTACTAGTAGGCTGCAGGCCACAGGCCACCATGCCCCATCCCCAAGCTACTAGTAGCCAGCAAGCTCAGTGGCGATTTTGCTGCATTTTCAAAAAGGCATGTCTGCAATCCGTCTGAACCTACATGTACCAGGTACCTGTACACGCTAGTAGTAGAGAGTGTTTGGCAAGCTCTTTCGTGAAGGCTTCATCCGAGATCAGATCTAGCTAGCTAGACTACTCAGCAAGCTAGCTACTAGCTAGCTAGAGCGAGAGAGGAGGAAGCAGGAACCGTAGAACACAGAAAGTGGCGACCCAAAATCCCAGCCAAACCCAGGAACGAGTATCCTCCGAGCTCCGAGCAAAGCCCAGCTTTCGACCCAATCAATAAGCTCACAAATTGGGGCTCTCATCTATCAGCTTCTATCTCACAATCCTCTATGATGCAGAACCACAAATCTCAATTGTCAAAGGCAACTCGCCGTTCCATCAAGTCGAGTTTACCTAATGGCAAAGTGATGTCCCAAGGTAGAGGCAACCCTATCACTTTACACTGTGCAGATGACGATATCTTTGCCAGGATGTGGTCTCTAATGTATGAAACCATGCTTGTCACGAGAGATCTTTGCATGACGACGAAGGAAGCCGTTGCAAAAATTGTCTGTGAAGAACATGACTACCGGTACCCTCTCTCTATCAAAATGGAAGAAGGAGATGTGGGGGCGAAACACGGTGCAACCTGCAAACATAACGACGACAAGGATAATATTGGACGAAAGGGATGCAAGAAGCACACGCAGGCTATTGGCTATGCAAGACTTGTATTGGCTACGATGACAGCAAAAGGCCCAGAGAGCGAACACCCTTCTTTAAACTCCAAAAAGTGCTTTTCTCGTCTGACCGACGCGGTCAAGGCAGAGATTGCGTTGGTGATCTTTCTTGTTACCCACATGAACCGTGTTTCAAAGGCCATCTTGGGAGAGGGACTGCGCACCGACGAGTTGTTCCTTGCCGCGGATGTGACTAGAGGTTTCCGTTGCTCGATCGCCCGCTTCGTTCCCATTATCGGATGCAACACATGCGAAGCGGGGAAGACCTCGAGTCTCTTCCCAGAAGAAGACAACGACGACGACTTGAGTGTTGCTACGTCTGACCATTCCAGCATCATTGCATCGTTCTCCCCGGTAGCTCCCCATCTCCAAGGAGTTTTCTTGACCGGCTTGGAACGAGCCCTCGCGATGGCACGGGTGAAGGATTGGGTGGGACAATACGGGAAGGAGAAACTGCTAGGGCAGTCCATTGTGTCCAAGAAGATACTGAAACGTTTATTGGAAGACCCCTCTACCACACCACCGCCAACGTGCACGACCGATGAGTGCATTTGGGAATGGGCTGAAAACACGGTGCAACGAAGGATTGGTTCAAAGGATAAGCTCAACGACGCTAATCGAGCTATTGGCATGGTCCTGCTATTGGTTACATTTGCTCCTCATACAGTCCATGAGAGCCAGCATTGGCTTACAATGGTGAAGTGTGTGGGAGATGACATGGCTCGCTGTATCGTCGTTTGGTGGTCTCTGAAGCTTGCCTTTCGGGATGCCAAAGGTCTTGATAGCGCAATCGATGCTGAGGCTATGTTCAGGGTCATTCACCAGTAGAGCTGAAGCCCCGAAAGTCAACAAACGATCTGCCTGAATCCACGGCTCGTATGTGGAATATAAAACATCAACTGAAATAATAGAAACACGCCTAGATTGATATCATTCCTTAACAGTTTGGATGTTTGCTAATTAGGAACTCTGTGCATTTAGGATCTTTCCAATGGCCCAGTTCAAGTGAGCACGAAGCTGACGTGCTGCAGGAAGTTTCATGTCACGGGGAACTCCTACACGATCTCGTAGATAGGACAAGCTTGAGATGAGTCCATCCGCATACTCTTGGCCACCCTGTTGCACGACTGCCTGTGCAAGCTTTGACATGGTGTCCTCGTGTGTCTCCCTACCATCCAGCATGGCCAATGTGACAGTTTGCAATACTGTTTCTACTCCAGTTTGCACAGCTTCACTGGGAACTGCATTTGGATCTGCCAAAGGTGCCATGACCGGAGGCATGCCCTTTTTACCTGCACCACGGGCAGCAAACTTGACAATTGCTTGATGATTGAAAGATAGTCGTTCTACTGCTTCTCGTTTTGCCGCTGCTTCATCCCCGGCCCACATCCAGTCCGGTTCGATCCCGCCATTGTGAGGTTGTAGCGGAAACTCCCAGCTACCCTGAGTTCCGTCCAGACTGCGCTCACCGTTGATTGCCTTTCGATACGGCTCACCTTCGGGTTCTGGACCACAGCCTCCCAGTTGCGGTGGCAAGTCCCAGCAGTGTGTGTAGTAGTCGCTTTTTGTGAGCTGGTAGGATGGCTTTTGTTCCAATGCATCAAACCATTGATTGATGGCAGGGTATGGATTGTTTTGACTATCTGTTCCAGGAGGAACTCGAATCACAAACCCTTTGAAGAATAAGAGAGAAGCACACATGCGTTCAAGACTGGAAGGATCTGAAATTGGCACATAGCATAAATTTGATCAGTGAAGGCGGATTGGTTTTGGTTTTGTTTTAGTTGTGATAAACAGGACGTGAGAGAACTTTGAAGGATAGTCGAGTCGAAAGAGGGGTTCAAAACAGTGTCAAAGATCCAGACTCACCAACATGCAATGGCGAGTCAGTTGGAAAAAATTCCAAATAGAGACAACAAAAGTAAGTGAGACAGATAACCACAAAGTAAAGAAAGCTCTCCAAAGCAAAAAGCCCATTCCACCAGACCCGCTCTGCCTGCCAGGAAGTAAATCACCTACGTACAAGGAAAGAAACTGAACATCTACAATGCTCACATCCTTGCCCATGAAGAAGGGACCACCAGATGCTTTCAAGGCTCCTTCCACTTGCCCCAAAATGTTTTCCATGTTTCGTCGACCACCACCTCCTCGAAGCCATCCCAACCAGGCACCCGCCAATGTGCGTTCCAGCATGAGTAGTTCCCGTGCTTCTCGTTCTTGCCCGGCTGGTGGTTGGAGGGATTTGTGTTCGGGAAAGAGACTGTCCAGGACCGCCAGAATGTCATTGGATTGGCCATATGTACGCGAATCAATAATGGCCACAGGGATTTGTCCATTGGGTTGTAGACGTAGAAATTCTCGTGGTTTGTCGCCATAGCAATTCATGTTGACCTTTTCGACGCGATAGGGGATTTTCTTTTCTTCCAATGCAAACCAGACTTTTTGACAGTAGGGACTTTGTTTTTTTGGTGAACACAACGAAAGCGTCGTTAGTTAGTTAGGATGAAACACACCACACACCATTGGATGGTTGGTGGATCACTCATGCATTCTGCACTACTTACCACCACGAAGCATGATCCCGGTAGAACGTGACTCGGATATCCTCTTCTTTGTTGGATTCATCATAGAGCCGAATTTTGTTCATGGGCGACCCGACTCCATATCCCAATGCCAGACTGTCTCGAAACTGACGTTCCTCGGGTGTCTGTACGGATTCGAGTTGGGATCGAATCTCGGACCAACCGACCGTGGCAATACCCTGGAGTGTGGCATCCAAATTGGCATTGGCCGACACGGAATCTCCCTGGCCCATGATGGACGATGCAAAATCTCCCAGTAATGACGAAAATGGATTGTTGTTGGGGGTATTCGAGTACAACCGTGTGGCTGCAATCTTCTTGCTGATGCTGCTGCTTTTTCGCTCCAGAGCCGTGGTGTGGTAGTACTGATGAATGTGATTCTGGAATCCGTTGGAGGAGGAGGACAAGACGAGCAGAATGGGCACGATAACTCTTCCTATCGAACGGCGAATTCCATCCATGGTCGAACGCTTGTGGTCTTCTAGAGAGATTGTTGGTACACAGAATTATGTAATGTGATCACGACGACAACTCTGGCACCAAACTTGGAGCTTGACAAAAGGGTACTGTACCACAAAGCAGATGGACAATGCAACAAAGAAAGAAATCGATGCGATGGGCAAACTTTGGATTGGTGACTGACGTCATTGCAAAGACCCAATTATTAACTCGCAGAGCTGTAAAATCATGGGAAAGCGTCCTGGCGGCAGCTGTTTCTTTGTCTTCGATTTGGTTTTTGTTCTGTGCCATTCATTCTGCCTTGTGGCAATGCCATAAACACAAAAGGTTTGGTTGGTTTGGTTCGATGCTTCCAGAGCAGGCACTCATAGCTCCCGTACCATTAGGCCAGTGATAGTCTCATCATGTTGGCGTTGCGAAGTAGACATGTCAGGAAACGGGTGACCCGTCAGCTTGGGTCGTCACTCGAACATGCACTACTTTATCATCCTCAGCTTTGTACCGCAGAAATGAAAGCCAGGCATTGTTCTTCAAGGGGTATGTGGGACCGCCGAATGGATGCTAATAAGAAGCATTGGAATACTGATGTCTCATCATCACTGATCAATAGCAATGGTGTCGGCAGAGGTCGGTGCCATCTGAGTACACTATTTAGCATCACCGAAGAATCCGACCATGACGAAGAAGAAGAAGTGCTGAAGGCAAAATCGGGCAATGTTTCTAGATCTATAGATACCACAACTACTCGTACCCCAGAATCAGAACCACCACGGAACGTCCACCAAAAACCAAAACTAAAAAAGAAGAAACCAAACCAATCCTCAGTCCGAGAAATGCTGCAACAAGGAAGCGACTCGCATAGAAAAAGAAATGGGAAAACAAATAACCGAAACAATAAGCCGAGCAATGGGCCATGGTTGCGAGGGCAAGGAAGTAATGCCCAATCTTCCCCTGAAACACCGATGGATTATTTGGTCGTTTTGGAGGCATATCGAGAGAAAGCGAAACAAGATGGTGGATTTGCAGTTGCTCACCAAGCAGAAGTGCTACTGGAAACCATGGAATCGAAACAACTTATTGCAGCACCACCCACACTGAAATGTTATGAAACAGTCTTACAAGCCTACATGAGCTGCAAAGGAGGAACAGATGCTGCTGAAAGAGCCGAAATTGTCCTTTTTCATCTGCTCAACAACCGTTCCAACGAAACAGCAACAGTACCCAAACCAACAACTCACACTTGCAACCTGGTCATTGAAACATGGGCAAACAGTAGTGGCAGCACAGATGCTACTGATCGAATTTCCAACTTAAAAGGCGCCATGTTGCAAGCTGGTATCCCTGTAAATGCCACCACTGTTCAACTCGAAATGAAAGCTTGGTCCCACAGTGGTCATCCAATGGCACCCGAGAAGATTTTGAAGGTGCTGTTGCAGATTGCATCTGCATGGCAGCAAAACAACAACAACAAGTCTGACGCCAATACTATGGCTCCCAATTTGAGCATGTTTCACACGGCCATGACAGCCTTGGCAAAGAGTGCGACACACCACAATCAGCGCAGCGCTTCCAACGTGGCGGTGCAAATTGACACCTTGTTGCAGACCATCCTAGAGAAGCAGACTCTTTGGAACCTGCAACCCACTTTGCGAACATTTATGATCGCCTTGGGAGCCTGGGAACGGGCGGAACGAGTAGAGAGAACCGGGGTGGCAGCCCAAAGGGCGGAAGATATTCTGGACTTGATGATGATGAGTCCAAGACATCGAGATTCCAATGGCGCGGATCCGCTGGCCACAATCTGCTTCACGACCGTCATGGTGGCGTGGAGTCACGCCGGCAAACCACGGAGAGCTGAGTCTATCTACCGACGCTTGATTGACTTGTACAATAATTCAGAAGAGCGCCAGAATCGGAGGCTCTTGCCCACTACGGTGTCCGCCAACACTGTGCTCAATGGATGGGCCAAGCAGGGACAGCCAGATCGCGCACTGAAATTTATGGAAACTATGCAACAAGTCGCCATCGACACCTTCCCAAGGCATCCTGAATGTCAGCTCGATATCACGAGCTTCAACATACTGTTGAATGCTTTGGGCAAACAAGGGAGGGTGGAGGATGCAATGGAGTTGCTGCAATGGTTAGAAAAACGTGAGCACAATGCTCCTCTGCAGGGCAACAAGTATGATTCGTTGTTCCAACAAGATGCCATTCAAGGATTGAGCAAACCCAATAAGGTATCTTATTGCAGCGTCCTTGTGGCCCTTGGTAGGAGACCAGATTTGGTGGACAAAGCTGAATCCATGATTGCACAAATGAGAAAAGAGGGCATTGAACCAACAGCATTTGCCTTGACCTCCGTGATCCACGCCTACGCACTGGCCAATGATCCCAGAAAAGTGCACAAAGCTCATGGTTTGTTTCAGCAAATGCTGCAAAAGCAAACCCTAGATGCTGCCTGCTGTACCGCCTTTCTGCAGGTGTGCTCACGCGCATTGCCGGAGGAGCACAATCTAGCTTTGGACCTGGCAGTGTCTGTTTACGAGTCTCTAGAGCCACGAGAGCGGAATGATGCTTTCTACCTTGGAATGACAAGGTTGATTCGTCATCTTGTAGCTTGGGAGAGTGTGAAGGATACCGAAAGATGGTCGACACCGGAAGAGGTGAAAGCTGAACGCCAAAACATGCTGCAGCGAATAGCAAGAGACTGTTGTGATAGTGGGCATTTGGCTCAAAATGTCCTTGTTGAGTTTCGAAAAGAAGGAGGTCTGATAGCGGAGTCACTTCGGAGTGACTGCTTGCTGCCAAATTGGAGCCACAATGTTCCAAAGCAACCAAACCCACCGCACAGAGCCAAACCGGAAAACAAAGCGCTGTAGCAGCAACATGTAACACCATGGATTGCATTATCATCAGTTCCATCCGAGCCTTCTGGCTCATTGCACACTAGCTAGGCTAGGGATATTTTTAAGTTAGCTGTTGTAGTCACCACCTAGCTTTGAAGCAGCTGGCTCGTCCATGATCCAAGTTGCCACGGGCCTTAGACCGACAGCCGGAAAGGTCTGGATTGTTTCTGTAGGATCAGCAATGGCACGGCGCATCCCTTCCGATTTTCCCTGGGGATATTTGTCGCTTACTCCACACGCTGCCACCACAACCTTTTTAGCTGCCGCCATGACGGGCAGGGTAAGAGTAATGGAGGGTGGGCTCTTCATGGCCACTGGCAAAACCCACGGTCCGTCACTTCCAACCAAGACTTCGTCGCGATTGGGATAGAGGCTGCCAACATGACCGTCATCCCCAACTCCAATCAATGCCAAATCGAAAACGGGCAATCCAGTAGAGGCATCCCTTGGCAGCTGCGCTTCGCTCAATGCCTTGAGTTTGGCTTCGTAACTTGCTGCTTCGGCATCCCCGTCATCTGTGCCTGCCATGACAATAGCATTGACTCCAAACCATTTGTTCATGAACAAATTGCACGCTTTGGCGTGAGTGGCCAGGTCAGCATCGTCCATGGCGACACACTTGTGATTGACATAGGCCAGAGTGGTCCTGGAAGTCCAACCGATTCCCTGCAGGATATCGTCTCCCACCAACATTTTCAGAATGGATCCACCGGGAATGGCCAAAGCGAAATATCCTCGGGCAGCAATTGCTTCATCGGCGGCTTCTTTGACGAGATTTCTCACAGTATCGCCAACCGCTTGAGCGTCTTTCAACACAATGACTTGATCCACGGGGGTTGGAGCTGCTGCTTCGAGGGTGGCCATCAGCGGCAATGATCGAGCCGCTACTGGAAGGGTATTGGGAACCAAAAAGGCCGTCGCAACCTGCAGTGGCAGCAGCAAGGCGATAACAGAACGCGAAGAGCGCATCTTGTTCTCTTCTCTATTGTATTTAAATTGTCGGCTCCAAAGGATGAAGAAGATGGATGATGTCTTCAGCAGTGTACAGTGTACAGTGTAACAAACAGGTCGACCTGTGATGCCTCCATCAAAAGCAAAAAGATTCTCCCGCAGATTTCAGAGATACTGTGCGTCCTTACTGACGTACCCGTACCAACAATAATTCATCTATTTTTTTAAAAAATTCATCAACAATAATTTTATTAATCAACGTACCCGCACAAACCACTTTGAAAGGTCAAACCATGAAGCAACTCCATGGGATGATTCACCATCACCCTCCTTGAAAGAGGCCACCCAGACGCCGTACGGTACTAGCTAGCTCTTGCCGAAACAAGAGCAGTTACAGTTGCAATCCAGATAGCGACCGGTTGTTCACCAGAGATGGAAAGTTGAGTGGACTTCAATTGCAAGAACATGATGATAAAACAATGTGTAGCTACCAAAGCAGCTAGCTAGACTACCAAAGCTCGGCGAAACCTTATCCGTTATTTTACACCATTTGCCTTGGTTTGACTTGGGGGTTATACAGTGGTTTTGCACGTTGCATCTTTTGGTGCAGGAAAATTGTTGACGGCTGTCTTGTCCACCCTCTGAGTGGGAGCCATTGCGCATAGTACCAGGAAATGCTGCACCTTTGCCATCGGCGGAGTAAGAACCCCAGTAAGTCAGTCCAGACGGACCCCAAATGAAACCCAAGGACCTGCACCTGGTCCTTGCAACAGTTCTGTTGTCCGGCCCTTCTATCATCTATCCCTGGGGGCCACCAACCAGGCCACTCAACCAATTTTAATCAAGCAAGCACCTGCAACCAACAAACATTGCTACAGTATTAGTACAAATACTCATTTCTCGACCCACTCACCGGCCTGGCTACGAGTACTGTACCGTACCTGTGTGATACTGTAACCATAGAATACTAGAAGTAAGAGGCTCCTACTAGCTACGAGTAGTCCAGCAAGTGGTACCTACAGATGCGTTGTAAAATAATAGAGCACCAACGACTCCCATGCCACTGACGTGGCGAGGTACTATTGCACTATCAGAGTATTGGCATGGTTGACCCTGCGCGTCTAATTACAATAACATCAAGAGGCAGCCCGCCATTGAGCGACGCCAATGCACTCCGAGCATCTTGGGCGAGCGACGGCCACACCGTACCGGTTTTCAACGACTCCTCTTCCGTACATTGACACCACCTCCCTCACCGTCCAGAGTTGTCCACTTTGTTGGGATTTGTTTTCCAACTTCGTTAGGCCTTGGTTAGCTTTCTGAAGCTCATGGCGTTCGTGTTTGCCAGAGTTTGGTCGCTCGGCAGATCTAAAAGTACAAGATTGATACTATCTAGCTAGGCAAGCAGGTGGAATAAGATTCTTCTTTTGATTCGATTCTATCCATCCGATCCATCAACAATGCTACCCTGCAGTGCTCGCACTGCCATTCACGAGACCGATGAAAGTGTCCCGCTGTCATCGCCTCTGGTGAGCTCTTGCGAGCATCTTCTCCAACCCAATGGGAGTATCCTCGGGTCAGAGGTAGCGCACGCTATCTTGCCCAAGTTTCCATCCTTGGTTTCGGCCATGCCCACCGTGCGGTTGAACCAAAGCACAGCCACCAATGCAACCGCTGCGTTAAAGAGCATTGACCGGAAAGCCCCCATTAGTGCTAGACGGATTCATGACTTTATTGTCCACGAAGTGGGACCTGCTCTTCATCATATGAAGATTGGAAAAGGAAATAGGGTAGCATTGGTGTTGCCCAATGGACCCGAATTGGCCGTGGCGATCCTAGCGGTTTCCAATTGGGCTTCATGTGTACCGTTAAACGCTAATGGAGCCCATGACGAACTAGAATCGGATCTCAAGGCATGTGCTGCAAGACTGGTCATTGGAGTCACAGATAGTCCAGATGGACACAACTCCATTGCCAATATCGCCTACAAAGTGGGCATTCCATTCTGTGGATTGACACCGAGCCCAGTAGAAGCAGGGATATTTCAACTGACACCACCGGATATGAGAAAACTTGCCACTGCTACCAATAATAACCACCGTGCTCTGCATCGGGAAGGTATGAACAGCCTTATCGATATGGGGGGCACTACTACCGATCCGGACGGACTAAAACAACAATTCCAGCCAAACGCACACGAGGACGAAATCTTGGTTCTCTTTACTTCCGGAACCACAGGACAGAAAAAGTTGGTACCTCACAAACTGGGAGATGTACTGATTGCGACTGCCTGTATAAGTGTCAGCTGGAAGCTTACACCTTCGGATGTCAACTGCAATCTCATGCCATTGTTTCATGTGGGAGGCATTATCCGTCAAGTGTTCTCGCCCATCCTTTCTGGAGGTTGTGTCATTTGCTGCCCGTCCTTCGATCCATCCCTCTTTTGGTCCCTCTTGGTGCAGCAAAAGGCCTTTACGTGGTATTATGCGGCCCCTACCATGCATCAGCTCATTTTGGAAACTGGAAAACGGAAAGGCCACATTGTGAAGAAGCAAAACTCTTCCATCACATCGACTGCGCCACCGTTACGAATGATTGCCAATGCTGCAGGAGGTCTGTTACCGTCTCTCGCACGAGAGCTGCGGGACGTCTTCAAGGCCAACGTATTGCCTTCCTATGGAATGACAGAATGCATGCCCATTTCATCACCCCCAGCAGCCTACCAACTGGAAAAGCCTGGGACTAGCGGAGTAGCGGTAGGACCTGAGCTTGCCATTCTCAACAAAAACACGGGACAGGCTCTTCCATTTGGCACAGAGGGACCCATCTGTGTTCGTGGTGAACCCTGTTTTCGAGGATATGGGATTAACCATCTGGTGAGCGATAATCCCTCCTGCAGTTTCATGGCTGGTGGATGGTTCGATACAGGCGATCTCGGATACATGGACGCAGATGGATACCTATACATTACTGGAAGATCCAAAGAAGTCATCAACCGCGGGGGAGAAATCATCAGTCCATTGGAAGTAGAAGAGGCAGTGGGAAGTCATCCATCGGTCAAGGCATGTGCGGCGTTCTCGGCTCCTCATAATGTGCTGCAAGAGGTTGTTGGCATTGTCGTAGTGCCCGTTGCGGACAAGCCAAAGGTGGATCTTCAAGCGCTGCATGACTTTCTGGGAGCCGGTCGACTGGCTGCACCCAAGTGGCCTCAGTGTCTCGTCTACATGGACGCTTTGCCAAAATCACACACCAACAAGCTACTTCGAGTGAAGCTTTGTCAACGTATGGCCATTCCGGAACTCAACGACGATATGTTCCCCATCGAACGAACCTTTTCTGCAAAATGTCCTCCTCAAGGAACTGCTGTCAAGGTGGCCATTCCCTGTGAACGATTATCGGTGCACCCCGCAGATGTGCAGGCCAAACTGAGATCCGCCATGGAGTTTTGTGGCTCCGCTCAACTCGTCGCAGTACGGCACCCCAGCCGGATAGAGACTATTGTATTGTACGTGCACAATTTGGACAGAAAGAAGGTAGTTTCTGTGGCACAAGAGCAACTTGACTGTTATACCGTTCCAAGCCATGTTTGTCTCCTGAGCGAGCCAATCAGCAACGAAAACGATCTCCCACCTCCAAAACCTTCTGATGCTATTGCTGCTATATTGCAAGAATCTTCTGGAGCTGTAAGTGCTCCAGAGGATCCCTTGACAGCGCAAGTCCAAGAACTTTTCCGTGATCTCCTTGACCTGGATTGCGTACCTGCACCTGGCACCAACTTTTTCAATCTAGGAGGAAGCTCCATGCTTGCTTCACAACTGGCAAGCAAAATTAGAAAGAACTTTCGCATTCCCTTCGGTGGTGCTGAGGTTTTCCACAATGCGAGCTGCAAGGCGATTGCAAATGCCATAAGGACACGCCGTGGCGATCCCAATGGGAGCTCTCATTATTCCACAGTGACGAACGAGTCAGCACCCGCTGCAGATTCCTCTGCTTCCTCTTCGCTTTACCCAGAGCGGCGAGTCGACACACAAGGCGCATCCTTCAAATCCGCCCGTCTCGAGCCCCATACTGGCTTCCTCAGAACTCTGTTTCAGCTAGTTCCAATTTGTATCGTGTTCCCCATTTGGCAATTGTCCAGGTTCTTTCTCTTCTTCATGTCTCTGCTCTATGCCTTGAAAAAGGTCCCCTCAGATAACAACCTTGTCGCGTTTGTGGTCACTTTGGTGTTGTTCCACTTCGCATGGGTCGCTATTACGCCGTTGATATTTGTGGCAATCAAGTGGGCAGTCATCGGCAGATACAAAGAGGGACGGTATGCCATTTGGAGCAATTACTATCTGCGGTGGTGGTTTGTCGACGTTGTGCGGAAACTTTTTGGAAAAGGAATATATGGTTCCAGCGAAGAGATGGTGGCCTTTTACTACCGATTGTTGGGGGCAAAAATTGGCGAAGGCGCGAGAATCAGCGCGCAAGCTGATATTGCTGAGTTTGATCTTGTCACCGTGGGCCAGCATGCTTGTGTCGAATACTCTACGATACGCCCGTTTGGTGTTGACAACGGCTGCATGGTGCTGGGACAAGTGGTCGTTGGTAATCACTCCAGTGTCGGCGTCCGATCAGTCGTTGCTCCATTTACATGCATCCCAGACAGCTTCCATTTGGGTCCAGTCACTTCAAGTTATGAAGTCGGCAGCAGCAACAGCACGAACCATGCTCGTTATAATAGAAGATGTATTCCGGAGCCAACGATACTGTCAAAGACTCTGATTGGAGGTCCAATCACCTTCCTTGTGGATACATTTTCTCACATACCGGCGGCATTGGTGCTCTACTGGATGGTCAGCATGCCGTGGCATCACGACGAACCTTTTGCAACGGTTGGAGATCTCATGGAGTGGTTATGCGATGTTCGAAGAATACCCTTCTACATTGGGATTCGAGTAGCGCGGGCTATTTTGGCGCCGCTGTTCTACATGGCAGCAGCAATTGTTGTGAAATGGACAATAATCGGAAAATTCGAGCCCGGCCCGAGAGATGTCACTTCGGAATGGCAACTGCTTCGTCACTGGTTGGCAGCCACGCTCTTTTCACGAGAAAATATGTGTGATGTGACCGAGTTGATTGGCCGTCACTACGAGCTCGTTAGTGTCCTGTATCGCCTTCTTGGGGCTAAAGTTGGCAAGCGTGTTTTCTGGCCTGGACATCTACCGCTCTTTACTGGCGAATTTGACCTTCTCGAAATTGGAGATGATGTGGTCTTTGGTTCCAGAGCTGTTATCATCTGCACGACCGCCGATTCCTGTGAAAAAGTGACCCTTTGTGCAGGAGCAAACGTCTCGGACAACACCGTCGTTCTGCCAGGAAGTACAATTGGTAAAAATGCTGTCTTGGGATCCAACTCGATTTGTCCCATGGGCAGGTATCTCCCGGAATCGAGCATCTGGTTGGGTTCACGCGGTGGTGATCCTGTAATGCTGGAGCGCGGTGTGGATCTAGATCATGATGGTGTAGTGATGACTAGCGAAATGAAGCCCGAGCAACTGCAAATGGACGGAGATGATACAACGATTCGACCGTTTGGGAAGGCAATCTACGAGCGAGAAGCCAACTACTATGTGTATCCGGTCAGCTCCATCATCGTCTACACGTTGATTGCCAAAACACTGATTGCAACTGTACACACTCTTCCTCTGCTTGGCTCCCTCCACATGACAGCTGTGCTGTTCTACGGCTATCCTGCGTCAGAACGTCAGTATGACGACCTCTTTTACTCACCGGGGACTCTATTTTTGACGCTTCTTGGATTCTTCATTATTGGTCACCTTGTGCGCTTATTCATTTGGGTTGGAGTAGAACTAGGTGCAAAGTGGGGCTTTATGGGACGACGACAAGAGGGGCGCTACAACTACGACACGTCTGATTACTGTCAGAACTGGGAACTCTACCAGATTGCTGCACGAATACGAAATCCTGGGCGGATGAATTTCATGGACTTTCTTGCTGGCACTCCCTTCCTTGTCACGTTTTTCAGAATGGCGGGTTGTATGATTGGAAAGGATTGCTGTCTGTATCCCGCAGGAGCAGATCCATTCATGTCCGAGCCGGACCTTGTCTTCATGGGAGATCGTTGTGTCATTGACTGCGCGTCAGTGGTGTGCCACCTCAATACCCGAGGCAACTTCGAACTCACCAAGATCACGTTGGGCAATCATGTTACGCTGCGAACAGGTTCTCGAATTCAACAAGGGGTCCAGATGGAATCGGGTTCGATGCTTTTGGAAAAGAGTTTGGCAATGACGGGAGAAGTGATCGAAGCCAACTCGGTTTGGCAGGGAGCTCCGGCTTCAGTCTTATTCACCTACGACTTCACTTCTTTGCAACCAGCCGTGTCATTTGGAATTCGAAACTGTGCAACCGTTGGAGAGCCTATCCCTTTGATGTTGCGAAAAACGCATTCGGTATGACAAATACCGGTGGCTTGGCAATAAATCAATGCTATTGGCTGGCTCTTGTCTGCTGCGTCGGGCTCATTCATTTCGAAAACAAACTACAAACAAACAGTACATTAATTTTTCTAGCTACTCATTCTTTCTTGGTTGCGTATCATTCATTGATTTACAGGCTAGAGCGAGTCGAGTCTGGGGAAGCCATCACCTGAGACGAGCTAACGGCACAATAGCACTTTTGCGAAACGTATATCCAATCAAAACAGGGGCTACAGGTGGTATCAGTACCGTACAAGATGGACGAGGCGCTGCTGGCTAAGGATCAACTTCAATGATGTTCCTACCGGTATGATGTACCTGTCTGAACTGAGGTGCCTCCACCACTGCTAAAGCAAGCAAGTTCGCTGGCCTGAAAGGAAGATCAATACTCGTAGCGCCGCCACTGAGGGCAGCCATTTTCACGAGCCCATTGCAGCACTATTCCATGACCTTCCTCTTCAGCGTTGGAACATGTTGATTCATGCCATGGGCAGCCATTTTTTCTAGCCCACTGCAGGACTTCAAGGTGCCCACCAAGGGCAGCAGAAGCACATGTGGTTGCATCCCAGCTGCACCCACTGGCTCTGGCCCATTTCAAGATGCTCAAATGCCCATTCAGAGCTGCCCCATGGCATGTCCTCCTATCCCATGGACAACCCTGGACTCGAAGCCATTTCAGGACTTTGAAATGCCCCCCTCTGGCAGCAGCAGCACACGTGGTTGCATCCCATGGACATCCATTGTCGTGTGCCCAACTCAGGACATCCCATTGTCCTCTCTGAGCAGCATTGGAACATGTAGATTCATTCCATGGGCAACCAGATGCATGTGCCCATTTCAATGTGTCCAGGTGGCCACCACTGGCAGCATGTAAGCATGTTGATTCATCCCAAGGACATCCGTGTTCCCTTGCCCATTTCAGGATTTCCAGGTGCCCACCAGAAGCCGCAGATGCACATGTCCGTGAGTTCCATGGGCAGCCGTTCTCCCAGGCCCATTCCAAAACATTCAAATGGCCACCATGAGCAGCATTTTCACAGGTTCTGATATCCCAAGGACATCCATTTTCTGTTGCCCACATCAACATTGTCAGATCCCCATTTCTAGCAATTGAAGCGCATGTCCTTGGATTCCAAGGACAGTCATTTTCTCTTGCCCATTTCAAGAGCTCCCAGTGTTGGCCTTCAGCAGCAATATAGCAAGTTTTGGCATTCCATCGGCAGGCATTGCCTCTTGCCCACTTCAAGATTTCTAGGTGCCCATTTTTTGCGGCACCAGAGCACGTCCCTGCATCCCATGGGCACCCTTGCTCATGAGCCCACTTGAGGATTGAAAAATGGCCACCTTCTGCAGCTTTTGCACAAGTCAATGAATTCCAAGGGCATCCATTATCTCGTGCCCATTCCAATATATGTAGATGCCCACCTTTGGCGGCTGCAGCACATGTGTGTTCATTCCAAGGACAGCCATGCTCTCTGGCCCATTGCAGAACATCCAACTTCCCACTTACAGCTGCAGCAGCACATGTTCTCTCATCCCATGGAATTCCCTGCTTGTGGGCCCACTGTAGAACAGGTAGAGACGCAATGTGTGCCATCTTTTGGCAAGCAAAACTTAGGCCGGGTCTTCGATTGTCCGAAGAATCAGTGAACCAATATTCAGCGCATGGCACGTTGGCGAATGCAGCACTGTACAAAGTATCCACGCCACTTGCCAGCCTTGTATTGACGTGGGAAGAGGGATGCGCAATCGATACGTTTGGAGGACACTTGATGGTGGCACAATATTCCTGGTAGAGATCGTACATGTTCTTGTTGACAGCTGCCACCAACGCATAATTTCCCATGCCTACAAAGGGGAGGATATTGCTGATCCAAACATCTCTCTGATTCCACAGACGGTGCTGTTCTTGGGTGTTAGCGGTCTCTGGACTGCTACTTGGATCCGGAGGACACGACATGGTGCGGGTATTATATCATGGGGGTTGATCCCCATCTCGTTGCTCGTTGCCGGGTGTCGCTGTGGGCGGTGGGTGATGCTTTATCTTTGTTATTGCTGCGTCCAATCGTACACCTTGATCATCTGACGCAGTTGTCTTAAAACCAAGTTAGAGAAGCTCCTTCGTGCCGTTAAGACATTTTCGGTTTCTCGCCGTTCAAACGTTCAAACCTCGGTTGCGGACCAACATGAACATGAAACTGTGGCAGGAGCTGGCTGGATAATACCGCTACAGGGACGGCACCACAGGAGCTAGCTGGCTACTAGAAACAATTCCTATGAAGTGGATGACAGAAAGGTAATACCGGTATGCACGTAATGACCTGGAAAGACCATGCCAACAAGACATCACCGCACCATCCCATTTATGGACCGTAGCTACGATAGACCATAGGTGGCGACTGCTCTGCAAATAATGAATCCAGTATGGTTGACAAGTAAACACTGCGTTATCGTTTGCAGATCTTCTCACTGGTACGGCTGCATTTCTGTGAAGCATCTTTGTCCCTTTTTAATTGTAGATCACTCCATCACTCCTACAGTACCGAGAGCTAGCGGTAGCACTGCTTGGGCTCCAACCAAAGCTTTTCTGGTGCTATCCTTGCCATCGGCTGCCATTGGGCCCTTTGATGATTGCTTGTATCATCCCCTATGTAGATAGTGAGCACAACGGAACCGTCATTGTGCAAAAAACTCCGTGCTGTTTCGTCGCCTGGATTCTTGAATCGAATTCTACGGCAGTCAATCTGGATTGTAGGTACTGTAGTCCTTCCGGGCTTGTCCAGCCCGTTGCTACCCTACTAGCATTCTTTTGTTATTGGCAGGAAATCGCCTGTGACCACCACTGCATGCTATCATGTCGTCGCTAGAAGGTTGCACTATCCTTAGCTGTGCATGTCTTTTCGCAGGACAAACTATCTAGGGCAGTGCAACCACGAGATCTCTGCTAGCTACGACGTAGCTCCTGATCCGCTTTGATGGCGTCCTGGTACTATTATAAAAGGTTGCTGGTAAGGGGGTTTGTTTATAGAAGTCGTTTGATTATGTGGGTTGTATATTGTTGTTTGTTAACACATTATTAGTCATCTATTCATCATCCTCTCCAACATTGCGTGTGTAGATCATTTGTGATTGAGAGAGCAGTACAGGTCGAATCTTGCCTTCTTCTGCCAAGTCTCGAAGAGCTCTTCGAGCCAACCCACCGGAGATCTTGAGCTTTTCGACCACCGAGGAAACAGTGATGAGCTTCATTTTGGGGACTTCGGAATGAAGGCGATCGTGTTGTTCCTTGCTGAACAAGACCTTGTTATCGACCTTGTCACGAGACTTTCCCTTGGACCACTTCTTCTTCTTTCCCTTACCACCGGCCATGGCGGCGGCCATTTTCTGTTCCTTCGACTTTTGCTGTACTTTCGGAGGCTACATCATCATCGCAAGGCAGAAAAGGGTAGAGGAGGTAGATAACAGACATCAGGTTAGGTCAAGTCCAGAACGACAGGGAGACAACGACGAGCCCGCAACGAGCCCGCAACGAGCCCGCGATAACCCCGTTACATAGATAAGACTGAACCGCAACTCACCATGGTGACTTAGTTTTTAGCTACAAGAGGAATAACCAAGGATAACGACGAGGTAACAACGACAACGTCCAGAATAAAGGAAGCAAGCACAGCGACAAAGCTCGGAGCTGCAACAAGATGATGGTGGTGGCGTCCAGTCGAGCGGCGGACACGGCGTTGAGAAAGCAAGTAAGTGGTAACTTAAGCCTTAACCCTACGTATCGAAAATTGTCCTTTAGCTTTGGGACATGAGACTGACGTCAGTCACTCATCAGATCTTTCAAAAATCCAAGATCCAACAGGTGGTAATTTCCCGCGAAGGCAATCTACATCGGGCTCATCTTTGTTTGGCACCGACAATCTCTCTCAGAGGACCGACCATCCAAGGCTTCTCATAATATCTCTCGTATTCAGCACCTGAAGATGGTTTCCCCAACGACTTTAAGAAGATCCGGTGCCGTTTGGGCCTGCTTTCTGGTGTTTCTAGGAAGCTGCGATGCATTTTCCCCATTGCTCCCATCATCGTCTCCCACGAGAACCTTCCCACAACAATCCATTAGTGAAACACAGACCCATCTATTCATGTCATCATCATCACCCACCACTTCCAGAAGAAACTGGGGCAAGAATGCCTTGGCCTGGTTGACATCAGGGGCTGTGTTGCTACCCAGTGCGGCTGCCGTGGCCGAGGATGCCGTGGCCGCACCACCCTTGGATATGAAACTCTTTGTCGACCCCAAGGGATTGTTTGCTGTGAATGTTCCTTCCAAATTCTTCAAATTGCGGAGAACAGAATCCGGCGATCTACCCGATGAGAAAACAGGTCAGTTTCTGGGGCTGTCCTCTGTGCCTTTGCTGAATGAAAGTGGCATGTATGCATGCCTATATACTTTGCTCTCGCTCGCAGCTCAAGTCTAACCTTTTGTTTTCCATTCTGTTTTCCTTAGGCAAGGGTCGTCGTGGATCCAGTATATTTACGGCTGGAGATTTGGGAAAGGCAGAGATCATTGCTGTAGAACGGTGCGTATCTATTATTCTTGCTGAGGATGAAAATCAAATCGATTGCAAGATTGCCACGTCCTCATTTTTGTGAATATTCCGGTATATCTTGACGACACAGCTTTCCCACCAAAGTTCTACTGGAAGAAAACGGAATTGAACCTACAGGAGACTTGTCAACCTTTCCGGCTATTGGAGAATCACTGGCCGTGGCAAACCTTATCAATCTACGCCGAGAGAAGGAAAAAACGGGCAATACCATGATTGACCCCGAATCCGTGTCCCTTTCCGAGGACAAAATGGAAATTCGATTCCGCATGAGAACGGAAATTGATGTGCAAAAGCCAGAACTGCTCATGGAAACCTACGGGGTACGACAACTCTTTCGTCTCACCACCGCCAAAGCTACCTTGAACTCCAATGATGGGAACATCATGGCTGTCTTTGCCAGTGCACTGGAGCAAGACTTTAATGGGAGAGATAGAGACGCACTGGAAGAGGCCGTAGATAGCTTCACAGCAACGGACCAATCTACCAAGAAGTAACTAAGTTGCTAGCTAGGATTTGCAGTCTCCCTGCATCCATTAGTCGAGGAAACAGATTTCTAGCTAGGCTTCGTCCTCCTACAGGTTCTTGAGTCCAGCTACTCTCAGCCAGATGCACAGTCCGTCCTCATTTTCTGGCTGATTGGACAACTAGAGAGTTGCCTTCTAGCTCGCTTGAGGCGTCTGACCAGATAGCCAGATGGGTCGTTCAGGAGATTCCAATTCAGCTCTTCGCTGTGGTGTTTACTATAACTGTGCATTTTTCTGCTCTTGACTGGCTTCGCAATCATCGTCTCGAAACCTGTTCCCAAGGATCTTGTAGCGGGCAGCCACCGCCCCCGGGTTTGCTGGGCACTGTTGTGGAGTCGAGTCTCTGATCACGTAATGATGGCCAAGACTCGTGTATTGTCGCCCTTGGTCACAGCAAACCGATTTCCATCGGCTGCAATTGCCACACTGGCACCGTAATCGTCATGATTGTTGTTATCTGGGACATTCTTGGCAACCTGTTCCCAGTCCGCTTTGCTGTGGGACCACTCCCAGACCTGCGCGTATCCTGACGCACTGACCACGATGCGTGAATTGCTGGCCGCCACATTGGCACCAAAGTGGTCTCCTCCATGCAACGCTGATCCTATTTGGGACCAAGGAATGCTGTTAGAAAACATTTCCGTCATGGTCCATTCGTAGACGCGAACTGTTCCGTCCGAGGGGATCCCCAAAACGAGCAGATTCCCATTGTCTCCCGCCAGAGCCACGGAGACGGCATTCTGCTCTGGAATTGGCGAGCCCACGGGAAACCAATCTTGAATGAAATCGTCCCAATCCAAGGACAAAATTCCTTCTCTGGAACCAGAAATAACGATGCGGTTGCCAGTGGACGACATGGCCACGGCAATGTCTTCTGCTTCTGCTGTTGTTGTTTCTGCAGCATCTAACAAGATGATATCGTTTCCAACTTGGATCCATTCATCGTCACTGTCCGAAGCATAGGCTCTGGCAACGACCTGATTGTTCTCGTTGCCGCGCACAATGGTCACCATTCGAGTTCCATCTCTGGACATGGCCAATTTACTAGATCCTGCCAGCAATGAACCACGTTCTTGTTGTTGTTGTTGGATCCATTGTTGACTGTCCGAATTCCAATCCAAGATTTTGAGATGATGATTGTCCATTCCAATCCCAATTCGATTACCATTTCCCGCCATGACTACGGATGATTGTTGTTGTTGTTGTGTGGATAGGGGAATCGTCTGGCCCAACATGTGCCACGACCATCTCTCCTTGTCGGTGACGACATCATGTCCATCATCCATCCATTCCCAGACTTGTCCCATTTGAAGATTGTCACGCAGCACTATTATCCGAGTTCCATCTGCCGAGAGTGCCACGGATGACGAGGCAAAAGCTTGTGATTGTTGTTGTTGTTGTTCTGCAGTGACAAGAATAGGATCTCCCAGTTGGAGAATGGCCCCGGTTTCCGAACTGGCGACCACTTGGGGTCGGCTGCTGCCAGAGGATGACACTGTTGTTGTTGCGGTGGTGTGATTTGTGGATTCTTCAGAAGGATTCCCCAAGTCAGGCTTGTGCTCAGGATCTTCCGTTTGGGCTATTGCAGCTGACTCGTCACCACTGCTGGTATTCTCTGGCATCGACTTGTTTTTGCTTCTCGCAAGAATGATACCCACAGTCAAAGCCACTGCCAAAAGCAGAATCAAGGCCAATAGTAGTAGAGAGCAACAGCGACACCGAAATTTCTTTTTGTCTTCCTGTTCTTTTTTGTCCTTGTTGTTGTTGACCGTGTAGGTATCCTTGTACGGGTGTTGGTCTTGTCGTTGTTGTCGTTGACTAGCCAATCCCCTGGAATATTCCAGAAAGGACAATTCCTCATCCACCGTGTGCTGCAAGTTACTTTCGTCATCATCGACTACTGCCAATTTGGAGAAGCTTTTATTGTGCTTTTTCTTGTCATCATTATCATTGTCATCAGTGCCAGATACCAGTGGCCTGCCATTGAAGGAAACAGTAACAAAGGCAGCTTTGCGACTGCTGCCATGGTTGGTGGTACCGGTAGTGCCCGATTTGATGGTCATGTTCTTTGGCAGGATGAATAAGGTCAGATACCACTTTTGACTTGCAAATAGCTCTTCGGAGAGGACAGTGCGTAACCTACCCAACTAGCAATTGAAAGAGCTAGCTAATCCACAGACCACCACAAGAAGCAAGGCATCAACGTTCCAGTTGACATTGCACACCGACAGGACACTGAGGATGCAATATTACAGTACAGTACATGTAGTAGGACGGAGGAGGTGGTGCTTTCGTTGCTTGAAGCTGCTTGGCTGCAATGTTTGCTGTTGTTGCGTGAGATGATGGATGAGTGGTGTGCTGCGAGAGAGAGACAATTGCCCCCTTCTTCGAATGCGAAAACTGACAAAATTTATTTCTGGTTCTTTACCAGCCACTTTTCTGAGTCTTGTTTTTTAAAATTGATCTTGTAATTAAACAAAAATCGTCAAATTCAGACTGAGTCAATCTCTTTTTAGTAGGACGTTTTTCGGCCCTTTAATCGTTACTATAATAGTATGCCATAGCCTTAAAGGATAGGTGAGGAAATTGGGATTTGGGATATAAAGGACGATTGAGGCTTATATCACTTTTCTCAGGTCTTCCTTCCACGTGTGTCCGATGACTCCTACCACGATACTATTAATAAAATATTAGTTCCCCCCACAACAGCTCCCACAACCCACAATCGGCACAATACGGTAGTAGCGTAAGCGAGCACGGAAACAATGACATGAGGTCAAAGCTAGCGGCACGGTCTAGCTAGCTACTACGAGTAGGGTGTCCCTTTGGGTGAAAAATCAAGGGGACCAAGTCGGAAATTTGCGTCTAATCGGGCCAGAAGTTGCTTCTGTACTAGCTACAGTAGTAGTCTACAAGGAGAATGCTGCCGGTCCAGACTTTGGCTATCATAGTGGTACTGTAGCCAAACATCATTCGAAACTCCTCGAACCGCCTCCACGTGCCTTACTCTGGAGCATGACAATAAGGCGCATCGCGAGGCTAAGTATCGGTACTGTACCATACGTGCCATGAGGGATTAAACTTACTTGTACTAGTATCGTACAACAGTCAAGTGAGCGTTGAAACTGTAGGTATGCGCACACGTGAGGGTTGGCATCCCTTGTTTCGGTTTGTTTCGCAAGTACGAACCAGTAGCCACAACGAAACGCTCGCGACCGGCGATGCGAGATTGCTGATCTTCGCAAGCCACCCAATAAGTAACTACAGCTATCCGCAGTACTATCGATAGAGGGCACATTACGACAATGGTATTTGTCGATATGATGCTTTTCGTGCTACTTGTAGGATGCTGGTGTTGGCCTGTTGTATTCGCAGCCCATGGCGACCCTCTTCCACCAGGAATTGCACAGTTTCTTCGAACTCGCAGGAGCGAAAAGAGTCGGCATTTGCGTAATGGATACGTCAGGCTCGGAGATTATGCCGGTATCCAAGGAGTTGTCCAATCATTGACTGGGTACAGTCTTTCAATGAATGCTGTAGGCAACATGATGGCGGTTGGAGCCCCAGGTGAAGAGGGTGATTTCAGCTTTGAAAGAGGCGCCGTCCGCGTCTTTGAGTTTGCAAGTGGGACATGGACTCAAAAAGGCCAAGACATCATTGGAAAACTTGATGATTCTGAAAGTTTTGGTTTTGCTGTGTGGTTGAGCCCTGATGGGCAAACTCTTGCAGCTTCCGCAAACTCGGCAAGTCATGGTTACGTTCAGGTGTACGAAATCAATGCCTCTGGTGATACGTGGATAAAGCGAGGAGTAGACCTTGACGAACTGAACCCAGGCGAAGGCTTTGGCAGGTCCATAGCATTGAGCGATGATGCTGTATTCATGGTTGTTGGGGCCCCGTTTTATGATGAGGGGGCGGATACGGAGGTGGGAAGGTTGTACTTCTTCGATTATCGCGATGGGTCCAACTACGTGCTTCGGACTGAGCAGCTGGTATTTTCACTTGTTCCACTGGATCGCGGGTAAGTTGCTTGCCGTGGTCCCGCTTACATTATGCACGGGTCAATCTCAGCAGTTGACCACATCCAATGAACAGGCAAGCGGCAACTCAGCAAATGGGAAGTGCTGTAGCGATGTCCAGCGATGGCAAGTTCGTTGCTGTCGGTTCGCCATTTGACCAGAACGACTTGGAGAAAGGGCTAGTGTTTGTCCTTTCAATACTTTGGGGTTTCTTTGTCAACTTGGAAGTTTTCGGAGGAGGTTCGTTTGTTGTTCGTTACAACCTGAATGTGTGGCTTCGTGCAAGGCTGTTCTCACACGCATTCCCACGGTGTATGTACCGGTAATGTCCAAGTGATTGAGGCCGATGAAAGTGGAACTAGCTTTGGTCTAGCCTTGGCTATGAATGGAGACGGCACCCATTTGGCAGTAGGAAGTCCATTTTTTGATGGACTGGTAGACTCTGCCGGTCGAGTCCAGGTCTTTTCAAGGGCGACAGAACAGGGAACATCTACCTGGATCCAGTTGGGGAGGTACGCGAGCACTAGCTGTATCAGGCTGTGTGTATGTGATGGTCTAGCACCATGCAAAACCGATATCTAATGCAAATCTCATTGCTTGCGCCCTCGGGATACCTCCAAACTGGCTGCAGCTCCATTGACGGACTTGATGCATTATTAAACTTTGGCACGTCCATCGCCATGTCCGCGTCGGGTACAACGATTATTGTTGGGGCACCTGGAGCCTTCTTTGACGAAAATGATGGCTACACTCGTCTTTATAAATACAATGGAAACGAGTGGCTGTTGCAGGAGATCAGTCGGGTGCAAGGGACGGATATCATTGATGACTTTGACAATCAGGGTGAAATAGGTTTTGCTGTTGCAATAAGTAGGCTGGGGGACAAGATTGCTGTTGGAGCGCCGCAACCAGACGTAGATGGTCTTGGCCGCGTCCAAGCTTTTGGCCAAACAGAGTTCCCCACTTTTTCTCCGATCATCAATCCCCTTCCGCAGGTCTCATCGTCACCTTCGGGAACGTCCACTTGGAGAGTCATCACAACGGCCTTTTCTGATGCCATGTCCTTTGTCACAGAGTTTTTCTCGCGGTAAATTTGTAATCTGCATAGCTTCTCTTGTCACTTCCATCGGTCAAAAGTCAAGAGAGATCTGTCGTGCAAGGCTGCTCCGAGGGAAAGACATCCCATGTAACTAGTTTTGTTCTTTCAATATTTTGGGGTTTCTTTGTCAACTTGGGAATTGTTGGAGGAGGTTCGTTTGTTGTTCGTTACAACCTGAATGTGTGGCTTCGTGCAAGGCTGTTCTCACACGCATTCCCACGATGTATGTACCAGTAATGTCAAAGTGATTGAGGCCGATGAAAGTGGAACTTGCTTTGGTTTAGCCTTGGCTATGAATGGAGACGGCACCCATTTGGCAGTAGGAAGTCCATTTTTTTATGGACTGGTATATTCTGCCGGTCGAGTCCAGGTCTTTTCAAGGGCGACAGAACAGGGAACATCTACCTGGATCCAGTTGGGGAGGTACACGAGCACTAGCTGTATCAGGCTGTGTGTATGTGATGGTCTAGCACCATGCAAAACCGATATCTAATGCAAATCTCATTGCTTGCACCCTCGGGATACCTCCTTACTGGCTGCAGCTCCATTGATGGACTTGATGCATTATTAAACTTCGGCACGTCCATCGCCATGTCCGCGTCGGGTACAGCGATAATTGTTGGGGCGCCTGGAGCCTTCTTTGAGGATAATAATGGATACACTCGTCTTTATAAATACAATGGAAACGAGTGGCTGTTGCAGCAGATCAGTGGGATGCAAGGGATGGATAACATTGATGACTTTTGACAATCAGGGTGAAATTGGCTTTGCCGTGGCTATGTCTAGGCCAGGGGACAGAATTGCTGTTTGTGGGCCACAACCAGATGTAGATGGCATTGTCCAAGCTTTCGGCCAACTGAATCCTCAACTTTTTCTCTCCAATCATCAAGATTTTGACTTGATCGCACACCTGTCTTGCTCTCTTCAATCTGCCAACGGTCAAAAGAGCCCTCTTGCACGCACCTGTTCTGAGTGGCACATGTCATCTTCTCCTGTTTATTGAAGGTGCACTTTCTCCGAGTCCAGTGAGTCTGTGCAGTCTTTTTCATGCTGTTTGATTTTTGAAAGGCAAAGTGAATCTGGTACTCGGGAACATGTACAATGTACAGGTCTCAAGTACTGTATGTACGATACCAAGAAGGTACAAGTGGTTAAGTACTAAGTACTCCAGGACACTCTCTTTTCTCTGTTACGTTTCAGGATCTAAGAAGAAAACTGTCTCCAATGGTGGATGCACGAGCAACGACCGGAAGCTCGTCCCAATACCGTTACTTGTAAGACGACAATACATTTTTGTTGATCTCCATTATCATAGGTCAACCAGCAAACCAAAGCAAATTATAATATCAACCAAGCCAGAGATAGCTAGTATATTAGCAACATGAAGCAACCAAGTACACGTAGTAGTAAGGATGACGGAGTGTGGTACTTTGGGTACGGTCCTTTAGTGCATCCCATGGTACGGCATCGACGAGGCGTGCAAGTGGTGGACGAGCAGGCAGCGATTCTTCCCAATCATCGACTGACATTTGCGTATGGCGGAGTCGCCAGTGTGGTGGAGCAGCGTGGCTACGAGATTCATGGGATTGTCATGAAATGCCAGACGCATGCCGACTGGGAAAAGCTACAACAATCCGAAGGAGGCTACTATGCCAGAGATGTCACCGTATACCCCTACTCGGATGTTCCTTCCGAAGAAGATCTACCCGTCTTTTGCGACTCTCCGGAACAAGACGATCCACAACAACAACAGCATGATGCCATTCGCGCCAAGGTTTTTGTCATGACAGAAGTCGATGAAGCCAAACTAGATGAACCTCTGGAACGGCTCCCACAAGAACGATATCTGCGTCTCATTGCCACGGGCATGGCCAAGTACAATTGCGATCAGGATTACATTAACGATCAAATCATGGGAGTCTCCTTTGACCCCTCTCGAACACCCGACAATTACAGCAAATTCCCCGTATTGCAATTACCCAACCCAAAACGACATTCCTACGGGTTCTTTCCCAAGCACGCATCCGACACGGACTTTGAATCCGCCTCGGATTTGTCGGCACTAGGACTCTTTTACCACACGGCCTTGCCCAAAATTACATGGCACGACTATCAGCGTCTGTGTGCTTCCGAAAGCAACGACAATACCACCATGACTCCCAAACACTTGTATTGCATTGTGGGAAAATACATCGTTCTGGTGCACAACCCAGGAAAGCCACATCCGGGCTTTCAATGGTTCAAGGCAAACGCCATGGGGCAAAAGGATGTCACCTTTTATCTCCACAAGACACATGTCGATCCCGATATACCCTTTTGTGAAACAGAACACGACATTAATCCCGTCATTCATTGTCCTTGGGCCGAAAATTTAATGTCCTTGGCCATGGGACAAGGGCTCAATGCTTATCGAGTATTTGAATTACAGAGCGACAGTAGTCAAGAGGACACGGAAGACGTTCGAATCGAGAGTGAACACAATGTCGAACTATTAAAAGCATTCCTACAACCATCATCATCCGATCATCATCAGAACAACAACAACAAACCACAACGGAGCAATCCCATCAAACGAATCACATCACGCATCAAGAAGGAACTCCGTATTGGACGGCGAAGCAGTGCGGCCACGTAGGTCCTCCTGCAGTATGTACTATTTTTTTTGTAAACTAGCTATAACTGCAATTCAGGTTCATAAAACAACACTACGCTACGGTACCAACGGATCCAGAGTCAGGGTACCGACACTGTTTATTAGCTACCGAGCTGGCCCACCGGCACATCCATGCCATAACAGAATGGACCAAAACCGCGGGCAACATATATATTGTTCCCCGGGACCAACTAGCAACACAGATGACAATGATACCTCTGCCAGGAACAGAAAACGAGATTAGCTATTATGCATAATAATTATATAATATGCTTTGCTAGACAACACAGAATACTCAGTGTTGCTTCAACGGAATCCGATCGAGATCGCCACTTTTTAAAAAGAGCTCAATACAATAGTTTTCTTTGCTTTGGGAAAGAGAGTACCTCGCAGTACCAATATCGACGCTGGCTGCATTTCTTCTCAGTTGCCAACAACCTTGCAACCTGCACAATACGCGGACACATCTAACGGGCAGTTGGATCGATGGCTACTAGTAGTAGCTACTCGAGTACATGTACTGTGGTTCGAAAAGTCAATCGCCGTGCTACTGTAGCTATTTTAAAGGACATGTACGCACGTACGAACGGAGCTGTTGGCTGCAGGACACTTAGCCGCTGTTAGTACCCAGCACCAAAACCCTATCCGGATAGCTTGTATCATAGCACGTAGCACAATGCCGAGACACGAGGTTGGCTCCCAGGGGTCAGATATGGCCGTACGTTGCTGCATGTAGTTTGCCTGGTGACATCGACTTGAGAGTAACTGGTGGGCAAGATGTTTCCGAAGAGTTGGGCACCAAGCAGCCAGCTAAAGCTAGACGGTTCGAGCAAGAACCAATGCAAACAGCGTCGCGTAGTGACTGCTTCTCGACCAAAAGTACACTGCTTCAGCCACTTTCTGCGTGGGGGGCACAGTCAAGCATGAACACAGAACATCCAGTTCTCTTGTTGTGGTTACAATAGCCAGTCTTGACATGGCAGGAAGGTATGAACGATCCGTGGTGTGTGGTGTGGTGCCTGCGGAAAGACGGCTTTGGTCGTTTTGTAGATGTGGTAAATATCGAAATATGTGTGACACGACGAAACGACTTTTGTTTCCCCATCTACCAAATGTTGTTGCTGTTCCTGTTAGCTGCATCGGGGCCTCTCACGCACGCAAGGCGTTCCCGCTAGCTTGGAAGCCAATGGACAGTCACGTTTTTGGGGGGACCCGATTGACCGAGGAAGTTTCGAAAGATCAACCTTGGTGCAACCAGCCGAAAACCAAAAAGCATCTTTCGCTTTGCTTCATGGTGTGAAAGAGCTCACAAAACAAAAAACAGCAAATCAAAGCAGCAAAACAACAACCTGAAAATAACCACCAAACAAACAAAATGGGTATCCGTGATCGCATGCAAGAACGCCGGCATGAGCGCCGTGAAGAACGCAGTGGGGAGGAGGAAGAAGATGAAGGCCCCAAGACATATGCAATGCGTGAGAAGTTGCTTCTTGACATTGGTGATGACTTTAACATCAACAGAATGCATTGCCGCCGTGGTTGTGGTGAGGCCGCATTCATTGCCAACAACAAGGTGATGCGCCTTCGTGAAACCTTCAATCTGCAAACTAGCGATCGTGAAACCTTGTATCAGATTCAGGAACGGAAGATGAGAGCCCGTGATGCCATGGCTATTGAAGATGCATATGGTCAGAAGGTTGCTGAGATCAAGAAGAAGGTGGTTGGTCTTGTCCGTGACAACTTTGTTGTCAAGGTTCGTGGTGACACAAACTGGGTCATCCATGGATCAATCCTTGAACATGACTTTACTATCTTGGAGGATGGCAGGGAAATTGTGACTGTTCACAAGAACTGGATTGCCCCTGTTTGCGACTGTTACTTCATTGATATCAGTGAAGGAGTTGATGAAGGATTGGCTTTGTGTGTCTGCATTGCTCTTGAAAGCATGACAGATTAATGGCGGAGAAAACATGGAGTTGCATCATTGGCCAAACGTACACTGTAGAGCAGCAGAGCTAACATAGTTTATTAGAGGCTGTGAAATTCAATTGATTTTGGAAGCTCTACTAGCAGCTGTCATCATCATCTTCATCTACTAGTAGCTAGACTATGCTTTTGGTACCAGATGAACCCCACACAAATCGGTGGCTTTCCATTTCAGGACAGCTCCAAACTGCAGCTCGTCTGGCTTACAGTACATGGATGAGAACTGAAGTGCGGCCGCTCACTTTTTGCTCGATTTCACTTACAGTACTTGCTTGTGCGCAGCCCAACGGGCGTTGCAATACTCTTTGCTTGCTGCTCCCACAAGCCATGCTCTTCGCCAACACAAACAGCAGCTCCAGCTTGCATGTACCGCGGGCCGGTATGCACTTCCAGTTTTCTTGCCCTCAAGCCCTGCTGTCACAACTTGTTTCATTGGCCGCAACATCTTCTACGACTAGCTAGCTATTGAACTGTGTCAATCGGGTAGTATCTGCTGCAGTATCGAACCGATAATTGCACTGTTGCCGACGTTTGGCAATGGTGGTGGGAGCTCTTGTTACCTACTTTGCACCGTCAAACAGGGGATTTGTCAGGATAAAAGATTCCAACAACGCCCCCTTCGATTCGTTTCCAGTGCACACAAGCCTACGAGAAGATGAGAGAGAAAAACCAAGGACAGCACTGCGCCGAAAGCCACTACGAGCCATGGCCGTCTTGACTTCGATTGCTTCTGATTTTGATCTCATTTCGGATTGGGCATTCTACCGACAATCGCTACGGCAGGATAGAGAGTATCGGAAGGAATTCGAAGCAAATCCTGTGGAAGGAGACCTACCATATTTGATACCCCCGAGGCTCATGCATTGCGTCTTGGCATCCTGTATTTTGGGGTCCATCATGTGGATAGTGGTCGCTACAGAAGGCAGAATCGTGTCTCCTGTAACAACTCGCCTCGGGATTGATAAGCTCAGCATGGGACTCGTGCTTTTTGTAAGTTGTGGTTGCTGCTTGGCTTGGTAAGGTTTGGTTTACGTTGTGGTTTTTGGCGTACCGGTACCTCAACCTTGTGTGGTGTCTTTCCTGGCTTGCTCTCGTCCATGTCTCTATGTAGATTGCAGTGCTTGTGGAGGATCTGCCTCAGATTCTTTTGGTGTTCCTAATTGAAGATTACTATGAAGAAGGAGGATTCTTGTCTGAAGTGGCAGTCTTCAATCTTATGGCAAGTTTATATGATACATGCATCAAGCTTGCAGAGAGTTACGATCAGAGGCATGACGTCGTGGAAACGGGCGTATGGTGCAAAAAGAGTATTAGAGGACATGAAGCAACAATTACAGATATCTTTGTGCTTCCAGAAGGCGTGGAATTGCCGGCATATCAATCCAACAATCAGCGCGGGAGACGCAGGTCTACGTCGGACTCTGTGGTACAAACGATCGAAAGACACCGATCTACCGGGGAATCATCATCAGATGGGAACAATGCTTCAACAAGCAGCCTCCCGACTTCAGTTTTTCGCAGATCATCTCGGAGTCAGAAACCGCTGATTGTAGAAGCCTTTTTTCCAGAGGGCGAAGCGTTGGCACCGCGCATTCACTTTCTAACCACTAGCATGGATATGACAGCCAAGCTATGGAACGTAGCTTCTTTGGAACAGACAAGCACGACAAATACAAAGAATGACAAGCAATGCGTTGATTTCTACAGCGATGTGGAGGGGAATGGTTTCACTTGTATGGCATGGGTCGGCCCAAAGAACCCAAAAACCATGGTTGCCGGAAGCATCAACCAGAAGCATTTTGTCCTGTTTGGAATGAACAATGGAGTTACCAAGCTATGGGACTTGAGTGGCTTGTGTCATCGAACCTATCAAGTCTATGGAAGCAGAACAAACCGAGTTGCTAGCATTTCAGCATCGGGTTTTGGTGACAACCATATCTTTGTTTGCGGCCATGAATCAGGGGATATTAGATTGTGGCAGACATGGATTGGAACCTGCTTGGGTCAAATAAGGGCGCACGACAAACGAGTTACTTCGATTAAGTTTTTGGACAACGGAAACCAGTTTGTTTCTGCCTCTGCAGACGCCATGCTGAAGCTTTGGGATACGAACAATCACTTTCATGGAAAGAAGGAGGATCATGGGGTTGAAGTCTCAGTTTCAGACAGCAACAGTGGTGTACCAAACCTTGCAAATAGCGCACCCAACATCTCTGTACCTCCCAAATACAAAGAATTGCATGGCGAGCACGATGTGCCCGTCAAGAAGTTCCTGGGGCACACTGCTGCAGTGCTCGATGTGGTGTGTGTTGACCAGAAGAACGCAATCCTGAGTGGTTCCGCAGATTACTCTGCTCGCTTGTGGTCACTTGAAACGGGTCTTTGCTTGCGAGTGTTTAGGGGGCACTCGGATGGGGTATATTCCGTCCTTGCAATCGACCGGGTTACCTTCCTAACCGGGTCGAACGATGCGACAATCAAAGCATGGGATGCACTGTCGGGTGAATGCCTGAGAACCTACGAAGGCCACCGCTCGTGCGTGACAGGTCTTGCTTTAGGAGCAGTTAGTCAAGATGCGACGGAGAGTGCTACCACTTTTCTTAGTTGCTCTGCTGACAAGAGTATCAAGTGTTGGGTGCTCACTGCGGTTTCCTACAGAGATCCAGCAGCCACTCTGGATCACATCCTGACTTGCACGAGAATACCTGCACGTGCTTTGACCCTGCCACATATAATGCAGGGCACCAAGTTGGAGTGGACTTGGTGAGATCGTGCAGCCCCCAGCATTGCGAGTTTGACCATCCGTACTATGAGGACTTCAAGCTAAGCAACGTAGATTAGAAAGGTGTCGGACCATAGTCCTATGATGACACCCCTTTGCTATTATCAACAGATCAGTTTACACACTTTCTACATAGAAACCTAGTTTGGCTCGTCGTCAGCCAGCTTTGGCTTCGTCGGAGGTCGGAGGGATGGATTCCGCTTCAACGAACATACATGTACTGGTCTAGTGTCTTCAAACCTACCGGTACGTCATATTATGTTAGCTAGCCGCTGAGTAACGCAATCGTGTCAACCGAAATACGGCAGCAGTGGTATCTTGGAGACAGAGAAACGTATGATACATGTACTAGCTAGCTAGTAGCTATGGTTTTGGCGACGGTTTGTCACCATGGCGCACTTTACATTTCGACCGATCAAATGTGCGTCGAATCTATTAAATTCTGCTACCGGTAGCCAGCTACTGTAATAAAGGAGAAAAGAGAAGTATCAACCCAAATCTTTGAATCCAGTTTGCCGCCAAAGTTTGAATATTGAGAAATTTGGATCGGACAAATTTGTGAAGGGCTTTTGCAGCCTTGGCGCTGTCTTGAAGCTCCACCGGCTACAAACCGAGAAGTTCTCTCAGAAACGCGCCCAAACTCCGGCCCGCCATTATGATGATCCAATTGCACATGAAAACCAAAGACAAGTGTTCCCTCTGTGATGTTACAGCACCAGAGATAGATTATTGTCGTTGCCTCCATTTCAACAAGATACCATGGGGTGTGTGGATACTATCAAGGAGACTGTCAAGGTGTGGATCACGAAGGCGTTGACCCTCTTGACTATGTGCTGAGTATTATCCGACCGAGGCTCTCCCGATTGCGACCGTGGGCCCCTACTAAAACCCCTGTAACATGGATTTACATCAATGGAACCTGCTGCATGCTGACGGCAATGTACTTTCTTCTTGGTTGGCTCCCCAAAAACACCATCGGATACGAGTTTGCGCAAGTGACATACATTCCTGCCAACCTCCTCTTTTGTGGCCTTTGGTTTTTCGAGGCTTCCCTTTGGATGATATTTGATGAAGATGAGCCAGCCTGGCACAAACTGGGAGAGGTTGTGTTGTCAGTGTTCTTTGTCCTTGATGGTATTATGTGGGTCTATGGATGGCTTTTCCTGGAAGAGCCCCTGGCCAACAAGGAGCTTTTGATATACACGGCCATTGATTTTGCCATATACTTGTTCTACTTAGTCCTCGCCATCCGCGCCGAAGCAAAGGCTACCCACGAGGCATTGCTGGCCCAGCAAAAAGCACAAGATTTGGAAGCTGCCGCTGCAGCCGGCAATGTTTTGCCACCATCCGACCAGCCACAAGAAACTGAAACGGACTTTAAGCTCATGACATGAGGCGAGAGATTATGGAGCAATACACACTACTACTGCATATGCCTGCAACGTTTGGAATGGG